AATTTTAGCACAGTAAGGACAGGTCTCTGGTTTTAAGGTAAATAAGAATAAAACTAAAATATTATTGAAATATATATCTAGGAAGGGAAAAGATTTTATAGCTGAAACAACCGGTTATGAAATAGTTAATAAGGTTAAGTATTTAGGAGTTTATATTACAACATCTAATGGAAAATTGTATAAGAATAATTATGAGCGCTTATGGGTTAAGGTTCAAAAAGATTTAAATGATTGGCAAAAGCTACAACTATCGTTATTGGGGAGAATTTCAGTAGTGAAGATGAATGTTCTACCAAAGTTTCTTTTTTTGTTTCAAAATGTACACATTTTAAATGTATCCATTTTAAAGAAGGATGCTAATTTGGATGAGTGGCAGAAGGGTATTAATAAATTTATTTGGGGCGGGAAGAAATCAAGGGTAAAGTTTAAGATTTTACAAGATGCTTGAGAAAGAGGTGGACTTAAAGCACCAAATTTGAAATTATATTATGATGCGGCCACTTTAACTTTAGTAAGTGACTGGCTCAATTTAACAAATAGAAATATTCTTGTTCTTGAAGGGTGGGATTTATTATATGGTTGGCATGCATATTTAATTTTTGATAAGAAAGTAGATTTGGTCTTTAAGTCACATATTTTAAGATATGCTTTACTTTGAGTTTGGAAAAAATATTATTATAAGTTAAATTATAAAATACCTATTTGGGGGATCCCTGGACAAGTAATCCAGGGGGTTTCCAAGGGGGTGAATTTTGACAACATTTCGCATAAAGAGTTACTTATTTGGTCGGGTACTGATTGGCAATTAAAGTCTTCTGATGTGTTAAGGCAAGAAAACATTTTACAATTGTGGTTTCAATATTTGCAAATTGTGCAGAGATGGACTTTGGATAAGAAAGTGGGAATTACTTTAATAGATGAAAATTTGGTAATTCAGATCAAGGATCAGAAATGTGCTCATATTAAAAGAATTTATAATGAGTTAATAAAATTGGATTCAGAAACAGAGTTAGTTAAAGATTGTATGATTAAATGGGCCCAGAATATTCAAGAACCGATCTCGTTGGACTTATGGGAGGTAATTTGGACTAGAAATGTTAAATTTACGCAGGCCCAGAATTTGAGGGAAAATTTTTACAAAATGTTTTATAGATGGCATCTGGATCCTAAAAAGCTGTCCTGTATGTACCCGAACCTGCAACCTAAATGTTGGAGATGTGGTTGCTTGGATGCAACCTATTTTCATGTTTGGTGGACTTGTAAAGTTATTAAAGCCTTCTGGATTATGATTTGGTGGAACATTCAAAAGGTTTTTAAAAGGAAGATTAAGTTTACTCCCCAACTGTTTCTTTTGGGAATTTTCGTGGACTTTAATGTTAAAGAAACTATTTTAATGTTGAATTTAATAACAGCAGCAAGATTACTGGTGGGTCAATATTGGAAGAAGGACACTCTGCCTTCTTTAGAAGAATGGGTATTTAAGGTTTCTAATTTAGCAGAAATGGCTAAAATTTCTGCTTATTTAAAGGACCATTCACAAGAGAGATATTTTAACGTATGGAGAAGATGGATAGAATATGTTCAGAAGAAATATGGAACTACAAAGTTTCACTTATTCTGTGAGTAATGATTTTGTTTATAAACTTATGATGTTAAAGTTTGAAGAGAGTTAAGGGTTTTTATGATTTTGTTCATTGTATAATTAGTAAACTTAAATAGATTATGTTTAATATGTTTGCATAATCCTGTATTTTGCTCTGGGAAGTCGGGGGAAGGGGGGTGGGGGGTGGGGGTGGATGGGTTGAAGTTTAAGTAGTTCAGATAAAATAGAAATAGTCTTATTGTATATAATATTAATGTTTTAATTTTGAGAGAGGAACTGCTCGGGCATTTCCCCTGGACCGCATCAAGAGGGACGAGAAGAAGGTGAGAAATAAGTAGGAAGTTGAGGTGAAGGAGGAGAGGGGGTGAGTGAAGAAAAAGAGGGAAAGAAGTAAGTTGGTTTGAGGTGGGATGTGGTTTGGGGGGAAATGGGCGGGCAAGACCGAAAGTGGTGTGTATCAATTTGTTTTATTTTTTATCTGAAGTATTTGTAAGATTGTTATGTATTGTAAAGTTGAAAATAAAAATTTTTACAAAAAAAAAATCAGTATTCAACTCAGGGTGATAATATGTGTACAGTTAGGGGTTTTTTTCCAATGCAAAATGTCTTGTTTGCTGTGTGATTTTGTTTGTTTATCTTTTGGAGTTTTGTACTTTAACTTTTTTTAATAAAATAAAAACATTGACAAAAAAATCTCCAGTGATCAAGAACTCACAACTTCTGAAGGCAGCTGTTCCATGAGCTCTCACTATCAGGAAATTTCTCTTTATTTCTAGGTTGGATCTCTGCTTATAAGTTTCCATCTTGTCCTGCCTTCAAATGCTTTGGAGAATAGGTTGCCTCTTCTTTGTGGCAACTTCTTAGATTTTGGAAGACTGCTATCATGTCACCCCAATCCTTTTCATTAGACATACCCAGTTCCTGCAATCTACTTCATATATTTTAACTTCCAGTGTCCTGGAGATAATTTTTGTTGCTCTTCTCTGCATTCTTTTTTGTATCATGTTGACAAAAACTGGATGCAATATTCCAAGTATGGCCTTATTAAGGCATTATAAAATGGCACTAATACTTCTCATGATCTTGATTCTATTCCTCTGTTAATGAAGCCCAAGACTGTGTGGGCTTTTCTGGTGGCTGCAGCACAATGCTACTCATATTTAAGCGGTTGTCCATTAGGACTCCTAGATCCCTCTCACCCTCACTAGTATTGAGCCAAGTACCACCTATTCTATACCTATGGTTTTTCTTGTATAAATGTAAAACCTTACTTTTCTCACCACTGAATTTCATTTTGGTTGAATAGAGTCCAGTGTTCAAATCTGTCAAAATCCTTCTGGATCTTGAGGTTATCTTTTAAAGTGTTGGGTATTCCTGCCAGCTTGGTGTCATCTGCAAATTTGATGAGTTCTTCTATCCTCTTGTCCAAGTTGTTTATGAAGATGTTGATGAATACTAGGTCTAAGAGAGAAACCTGCGATACCCCACTGCATATATCTCCATCTCCATGTAGATGTAGTTCCAGTAAGGAATACAGGTTGAATGAGGTTGATCAGTTATGAAACCATATGGTGGTGACGCTATCTATTCCATATTTTTCTATCTTACCAAATAATATGTAGTGGTCCACTGCCTTATGAAATTTTAGTTACTTTTGCTCTTTAATAGGGTTCACACAAAAGTCCAATACAGATTATGTATATGGTACAGTACCCATGATAGGAATCCATAAGTAGAAAGTATAAATTGTTCAAAAGAAATCAAGCCATCAAGCCCAAAATCCAGAACAGTATAGGAGCTCCTGCCTTGGGCAGAGGGTTGGACTAGAAGACTTCCAAGATTCTTTCCATCCTATTATACTATGTTTTATATTCTATGTTCTAAATGGCAATAAACTGTCTGCAAAGTATACTCATGGTTCCTAGCCCCGAACATGTTAGGCAAACAGCCAGCACCAGTTCATCTCTTTCAATATGTATTCCATGTATATGCCTTCTTATTGTCTAGTTGTAATCCCTTCCTTTCCAATATTTCCAATCTACAAGGAAGAAAAATAAGGGGGAGGGAGAAGGTCAAGCACAGGACATGTATTAACTCATTATAATGGTGAACATATGACTGAGATAGATGATTCAAAGGTCAAACATACCTGCCTTGGACACAAAGTTATGACTGTTTAAATATTAATTTCTGCTTTCCAATATTAGATAGATAGATAGATAGATAGATAGATAGATAGATAGATAGATAGATAGATATGTGTGTGTGTGTGTGTATATATGTGCTTTTTTGTAAAAAACAAAAAGGTGCTAGAACTCACACACATCATACAACCTGCCTTACCTACCCTACAAGGTTTATCTTTGTAGTTGAAACCCCTCCTTCAATTTTTACTGTATCTAAAAGACTAGGATTTTGTTCAAGGTAAGTTAATACTATTAATGTTACCATGCACTGTGTGGATTTAAATTACAAGAAGGCATTTTATTCATCTTTTGGGACATTTACCACTGGCATATCCATTTAGTTTGATAAGTGGAAATGTCAGCTTTCTATGTGGAATGAAATTGGCCCAATAAAACAAAATTTGGTTCCTTGTAAAAGATTGAATTATTTTTAAGAAGTTGTCAAACAAGGTGGAAAAATTTACATTTGGAATTTAATAAGGATATTGACTTGAAACAAATTAAAGTTGAAACTTTGTCAGTGAACAGATTACTTTTAATTTACCTTTAACTTAAACCCAATTTAATAAATAGATCTGATTAAACCTCATACTGTAGGTCTACCTTTACATATGACCAATATATGATTAATATATATTATTATTAGTAATAATAATAATACCTCCAAATCAGAAGACATTGGCTTTATTCTTATTCTTCCCCTCTGAATATAAAGTATAAAAGACTAAAAAGAGATTTTTGTAGACATTCTAGCCTTTGAACTACCCAAGGAACCAAAACAGCAAAGTTTCACTGTCGGGCAAGCTTCCATGTCAGCCACCTTTCTTTCCTCTCACTTCGCCTCTTTTTAACCTCACACCCCACCTTCTGTAAGGGAAGGCAAAAGGCTTGCTCACCCTCTAATAAAGATGGCCTCCATGTTTATGTGTCTCCCACCGTCACCATCGGCTTCCACACCACATGGTCTGACCCAGCCAATCAAGTCACGCTCTGGCTGTGGTGCTCCAGTGCCTCATGGTTCCTCCTAGAGGAGGCAGAAAGTGCCGGAGGGGATCCCACTCGCACCGTACCACCAGTGGGGCATTTTCAAAAACATTGTATAAAATAATTATCTATCTATCTATCTATCTATCTATCTATCTATCTATCTATCCATCCATCCATCTATCTATCTATCTATCTATCATCTATCATCATAAATAGCTACCAACCTATGCCTTTTATGCATTCCACGCCAGTCACATATTCAGCTCCTATTGAAACAAAAGACTCAAACACATTATACAGCACCTAAAAGAGAAATAAAATTATAGTTTCATGAATAAATAATATGAGACAGAATTAAAATAGAGAATTCCATTTTAAAATATGTAAACAAACTTTGATCAAATGCTTATGCAAAAATATTTTTTCCCCTCTCCATTCAGTTGAATCTGATTCTCAGAGACTGCTTGGACAAGCCCCTGCAATTTTCTTGGCAAAGTTTTTCAAAAGGAGTTTGCCATTATCTCCTTCCTAGGATTAAAAGAAAGTGACTTTCTGCTTAAGGTGAGACTAGAACTCATACTCTTCCAGTTTTTAGCCAGACACCTTAATTACTATACCAAACTGGCCTCCATATCCAATAACAAATATCAAATGTATCAAAATCATATTAAAAAGCTAACATATATTTTACTATATAAGGAATAAAGTAAAACAAGGATAGGGATATTTTAGTGTATAAGAAATACAGAAAAGGTATGGGGTAATTCTAGTTAGCAGCATCACTCAATCTGATCTCCCTTCCTCCTGAAAAACTAAAATTATTCTCTTTTCGTTTTCCAAATTATTTAAGAAAGTATTTAACTAGAGATGATGGAAGGTATAAGTCACATCTGGGAAGAAAAAAATTACTACTGTCAGACCTTCCCCAATCCGATCCCTTAGTAAAGAAAAGCCTTCAACTCCATTTGGTTAAAGCAAAGGGTCTTTTACTAAGGATGTTTGTTACAGTAAAGTCAAGCCAGCTGTCAAATCTACCGCACTCACTAGATAGAAAAATAAGGTGTAAGTTTGCCCCAGCCCATCCCTCTCCCCATGACCAGTCCGTTTTCAGCCAACTGGAGCTCACCAAGATGTTTTGAGAATTCTGAGATATTTGGGGGTAATTTGCATATTTCTCAGCTTGCCTGGCCATGGGATGCTGGTACAATCAGGATCTGGCTGCTCTGATCATTACCACCTGTCATTCCCCCTCTCTTGATTTCCTATTACATACACATAAAGCTTATTGCCCTTTCATCCTTCCCCCTGTCTTCCCCCTTTCATCCTTCCTCAATCTTCTTCTTTTGATGGCAGGATGCCTGTGAGAAGTCAAGCTGAACCAGGCAGAGCTGACATTCTGCCCCCCTTGACAGAGATGTTAGTCCTGCAAAAGAAAAAGAGAGGGGAGAGATATACAAAATTTCTCAATTAGCAAAACACTTGAGTGAGGCTTATCTGGGTATGGGTCATGGAATTTTTAAAGCAGTTTGGGGCTTTAATATGTTGGGAGTTGGCCCATTCAATTTCTGAGGGGGGGGGAGTCTTTCCAGGCTAATAAATACTGGGTTTTTCCCTGATGTATATGAGAGTCCAAAATATCTTTGACTTCAAAGTGCTGCTATCTCTCAATCATAATGGGGTCAGGAGTTGGTTACGATTTGGGATGGAAGGGAGATGTAATTTTTGGTTTCAGTAGGCTACAATGAAATACTGGGCATACATGTCTGAGCATTTTTGGCAGCTCAAGTTCTACAATTACTGGGCTAATAATCCTTTTGATAGGGAAAGGTCCAACATATTTCGGCCCCATTTTTTTTGACAGTTGTCTAGATTGTAAGAATTTCATAGAGAGATAGATCTTGTCTCCCACTTTAAAGTCTTTTGGCTTGATATGTTTTTCATCAGCCTGTTTTTCTATGCTTCTCTAGCTTCATCCAAAGTTTTTCTCATCACTGGCCAGGTATTCCATAACTGGGAAATCCAGTCTTTCAATGATACAGTTAATGGGGTGGTCTGAGGTAGTTCAGGAATAGATACAAAGTCTTCTCCTGTGGCCACGTTAAATGGTTATTGTAGGTGACCTCCACGAAAGGAGGAGGTCCATCCAATTGTTCCGTTGGTAATTAATACAGCATTTGAGGTACTGCTCCAGAATGCCATTGGCTTGTTCACAGCCCCCATTAAGTAGACAGATGATGTGAGGAGCCCAGCCTCTGAATGGTCCCCAAAAATTTTAGGAACTCCTGCCAAAACTGCGAAGGCAATTGGACTCCACGATTTGAGATTATTCTTTCTGGAGTACCATGCAGCTAATAGAAATGCTGCATGAATAGTTTAGCCAAAGAATTCATTGAAGGGATTTTTTGACAGGGTATGAAGTACACTTGCTTGGAGAACAGATTGGTTATCACCCAAATCATTATATTTCTTGCGCTTTCGGGCAATTCTACAATACAGGTGTTAGGTTTACCTTATATGCAGCTCTATCATTCATCTTTATTGTATTTGTTTCCTGTGTCACATTGCTAGTTTATGATTCATCTCTATTGTTCCTGTGATGCATTTCCTGTTCCTGTTATATTCTTACTCTCTAAAAAGGATGGCTTCTGCACAGTGATGGCTTGCATTGTATTTACTTACTCCAGATGAAACATGGTATCAGAAGCATCTGAATCTGTGCTGTCTCTACACATTTGATGCATGTCAATCTAGCACTTTCGGTCCTGTCCTGAAATTTGAGCATTTGAAGCAAGAAAATCAGCATCATGGCAGCTGCTAACAGCCTGAGGCAATGAGGGTGAATGGAGATTGCAGCAGTAACTGGGACTTTTCCAAACAGAGCGCAGCATAGTGGAAGTATTTACAAATCTGAATTTGAGATTGTGGAAGCCAATCAGAAACCGCTATTGTGTGGATCAACATGTGAGCATCTGGGTTTGATGCAATTCACCATTCCGGCTGAGTTACACAATGTTGAGATTCACTCTTCAAAATCCTTAGTGAGAAGGATCAGCAAATCTTCCAAGTCGACAATGAGGTGTTTGAGGGCCCCATAATATCTGTTCCAGGAGAGATTCACTTTGAACTTGATCCTGCCATTTCACCAGTACAATGTGCCCCACACAATGTGCCAATAGCCATTAAGCCTTGGATCAAAGTGCAACTGGAGAAGTATGAAGCTGAAGGACATATTACTTCAGTATCTGAGCCTACCGATTAGATAAGCAACATGGTTATTATTAGAAAGCCTGAGAAGACCAGAATCTGCATTGATCCCAAGTTTCTGAATATGGCCCTAAAACGGTCACATTACCTAATGCCAATACTTGATGGCATTACCCAAAGCATGAGGTTTCATGCTTGTTGACGCTAGAGATGCCTTTTTACAGTGCAAACTGGATGAAAAGAGTAGCTACATGACCACATTTTGGACTCATTGGGGCAGAAAGAGATGGCTCAAATTACCCTTTCAAGTCTCCATAGCACCAGAAGTGTATCAATGAAAGCAGCATGAACTTTTGAATGGACTCAGTGGAATTGCGCCAATAGCTGATGACATTCTCATAGTTGGCTGTGGTGATACGGATGAAGAAACTGAGCATGATCATGATGAGAAGCTAATAGCACTACTAGACCATTGTAGGCAGGTGATGCTGAGGCTCAGTGCAAAGAAATTGTAGTTCAAGGTGCAAGAAATCCATTTCTATGGACATATCCTGTCCTCACAAGACTTAAAAGCTGACCTGGATAAGATAAGAGCCATTGTAGACATGTCACCACCCGCCAATGCCAAATTGGTGGAGAGATTTATCAGTTTTACCACATACTTAGCAAAATTCTTGCTGCATCTGTCTGAGGTATGTCAGCCATTGAGACATCTGCTGGACAAAGATGCAGTTTGGCACTGGCTTCCTAATCATGACCAGGCAGTAAAGGAGATAAAATGCTTGGTCATCATTTCCCCAGTGTTGAAATACTATGATTTCACAAAGCCTGTTACAATTCAAAGCAAGCAAAAATGGCCTAGGATGTTGCCTATTACAAGAAAGTCAATCAGTTGTATATGCATCCAGGGCTCTTTCATCTGCTGAGTTAAATTATGCTCAAATGAAAAAGGAATGTTTAAATATTGTATTTGCCTACCAGCATTTCCATCATTATCTTTATGGCCAGGATACAATCACTGCTAAAACCGATCACAAGCTGCTAATAGCCATATTAAAGAAGCTCCTTTTGTGTGCTCCCAAGCGTTTGCAGAGCATGATGCTTACATTGCAGCATTACAACCTCAATGTTGTCTACAAGCCAGGACATGAAATGATACCCTGAGCAGGGTACCTCAGATCAGGTGACATCTGGAGGAGAGCACGAGTATCAGGTGGTTTGTTTGTTGAAACAGGAACAAACCCTCTTTGCTGAAGTCATTCAAGCAGACTATCTTAATGTCACATATCCAGATGACAGGCCAGACTCACCTAGTATTACCGGGCCAAACTTACCCACTGACAATAGGGAAGGCACAGTATTGATGCCACAGAGCAATGCTAATGACAGTTTTGAGCGAGGTGGTATACCTGATAGCAGTCAAATGCAGAACATCTCAGTAAGTGATGAGAAGAGCCCAGCAACCTCAGTGAGGTCAGAGAAACTCTTAATACAAAGAAGGCCAGTTTTCATCTGTAATGGCAGACATTCATAACCACCCAACAGACTTAACCTATAGGAAGTGTTGTTGTTGGTTCTCATCCAAGATTTCACAATGTTGTTTGGTTAACATGAAAAGGGTGTTATGTTTACCTTATATGCCGCTCTATCATTCATCTCTATTGTATTTGTTTCCTGTGTCACATTGCTACTCTATGTGATTCATCTCTATTGTTCCTGTGATGCATTTCCTGTTCCTGTTGTAATCTCACTCTCTAAAAAAGAGTGATGGCTTGTATTATATTTACTTACTCCACATAAAACAGTCCATTGATATCTCTTTCCATGGGGCTTTGGGCTCTGCTACTGCCTGGAGAAGCCCGAGTATTTTCCCTTGTCACCTCTTGGCAGAGGCACAAATGGGATAGCTAACCACATAGCTCACTATGTCCTTTTTTCAGTGACAAAATTTTTACAAAACCAAAATGTCCCGCCATTTTGAATCATGTTTTTTTTGTAAAACCATTAATTATTGGCTTTGTGGGACACATAGTTGGCTACCCCAAGCTAGACCATCTTGCATTGTATATTCTCCCTTGTGCATTTGGAACCACTTGTCCTCCTCCAAAGCTGCCTTTAGGGTACCCTTTAAATCATCAGCTAGTTGGGTTTTCATTTTGGCTTGTGCCTGGATGGTGACTGGGTGCCAGTTGCCTGGAGGGGATGACCGGTTTAATTACATCTGGCTTTGAACTATTTATTTTAGCAGCCTGGATAAAGCATCTGCTAGAAAGTTCCTCCCTCCTGGGAGGTACCTTATTGTGAAGTTGAATTGGTTAAAGTATTGAGTCCACCAATCCTGTTTGGGCGATAGTCTCTGGGGGGATTTCAAGGCTTCTAAACTTTTATGGTCAGTCCGTACTTCAAATGGGGTTTTCCCTCCTAGAAAATGCCTCCAAGTTAGGAGCACCCAATGCATTGCATAGGCTTCCTTCTCCCAGACTGACCACCTCTGCTGCATCTCATTTAGCTTTTTAGAAGAGTTGGCACATGGCTGCAGAACCCCTTGCTTATTTTCCTGTAGAAGCACTGTGCCCACTGCAACATCACTAGGATCAGCCTGAATGATGACGGGAGTGTTGGGGTCTTGGTGTTTCGGTACTGGCTCCCCTGCGAACAAGCGCTTAAGCTTTTTGAATGCGGCCTGGCATTCCATAATCCATTTAAGTGGTTGGTTGGGTTTGGGTTTTCCCTTCCTTTTTGTTTTTAGCAGGTTGGTGATGGGGAGGTCAATCCAGACAAACGAGGGGGTAAATTGGTGGTAAAAGTTTGCAAATCCCAGGAAGCTTTGCAGTTGTTTCCGGGTGTGGGGAGGAGCCCACTCTAGCACTGCCTGCACCTTTTTGGGGTCTATTTCTATCCCATCACGGGAGATGTGGTAGCCCAGATAGTCAATTTTATTCTGGTAGAATTTGCATTTGGACAGCTTGGCATATAGTTTAGCTCCTTGAAACTTCTTGAGGAGCTCTGACTAGCTTTAGGTCCTCTGCCATTGTCTCAATATAGATTAAAATATCATCCAGGTAAATTAAAACTCCTAATATAAGTATTTAAGCAGCACTTTGTTTATTAGCTGCATAAACACAGCAAGAGCCCCTTGCAGTCCAAAAGGGAGAACCTGGAACTAGAAGCATCCTAGGGGGCAATTGAAAGCTGTTTTCCACTCATCCCCTGCTTTGATCCTCGTTCGGTAGTATGCCTCCCACAAATCCAACTTGATGAAGACCCTTCCCTTGGCCAAATCAGCTAGCGTATCCTTCATGAGGGGGAGAGCACGAGTATCAGATGGTACACGTTTTCCACACACTGCATTGAGCCCACAATAGTCGGGTCTCTCGCAGGCAGCTGCCATGGTCCTCATAGGTGAATGTCATTTCCATGGGTTTTTCTTCCCATTCCGCCTTTTTCCTATCCTAAGGGACCACTGGAGTTTTAGTCGGTTGTCATCTCCTAGCTATCCGAAGAGAGTCAGCTCTCTAGGAGAGGGTTTCAAGGATGCTTCCCTCCAGGCCTCAAAATCTCCCTGACCACTCCTTGAGCTGACATCATTTGCACGGTCCCCAACAATAGAGATGGTTTCCTCTCCAGGTTCACCAAACTGCAGAGCTGGCTCAATGTCAGACCTGCCTCAATCCGATCCCTTACAGGGAAAAAAGCCTTCGACTCCATTTGATTAAAGCAAAGGATTCTTTTACTAAGAATGTTGGTTGCAGTAAAGTCAAGCCAGCTGTGAAATCTACCATGCTTGCTAGATAAAAAAACAAGGTGTAGGTTTGCCCCAGCCCATCCCTCCCCCTGTAACCAGTCTGTTTCCAGCCAACCAGAGCTCGCCAAGATGTTTTGAGAACTCTGAGATGTTTTGGGGGTAATTTGCATATTTCTTAGCTTGCCTGGCCATGGGATACTGGTAAAATCAGCATCTGGCTGCTCTGATCATTATCACCTGTCATTCCCCCTCTCTCGATTTCCTATTACATACACATAAAGCTTTATTGCCCTTTCATCCTTCCCTCTTTCTTTTTTTGATGGCAGGGTGCTTGTGAGGGATCATGCTGAACCAGGCAGAGCTGACAGCTACCAATATCTACTACATCCTATCAACTGAGATATCAGTTTTCTAAAACTCTTCCATATATTCCTGTTAGAGGCTTTTCTAAAGTGTGAGATGTTATGTGCTGCCCCACTCACTCACACACATAACTGTGGTTTAGTGAGTTTATTAATATTCCTCAGCAATTCCCCTTGCCAAAACCCAGAACTATCCCAATAAAGTCCAGCCACAAACTTACCAAGGTTAGTCCACAGAGCAATGGCCAAATAGTCCACAAAGCACTTGAAAGTTGTTCAAACAAAATAACTCCACCAGACAAACTTAAATCCACCAAACAAACTTAAATCTACACACAAGAGACCTCACGAGTCAAGAAAAGTCCAGTTTCCAAGGTACAATTCAATTCTAAATACGGTATCAATCCCGAATGAGGCAGAAATCACGAAGACCAAAAAATACCTAGTTAGAAAACAAACACATTGTTCCCAGCAACACCTCCATCTGCCAGCTGTGATAAATAGCCAACTTTCAATGCAGCCCATCAAGACGGGCAGGGCTTTCTCCTCTCTGCTCCTGCCTTTTCTCTGCCCTACAGTACATGTTCTCAGATCAGTGTAAAAGGCAGTTCCTCATCCTCTTTGCTGGCTATCTGCAATTGGAAGTTTTCCCCAGTTATTTGGAGCTATCAATCAACTCAATTCCTGATGTGCCAGGAATCGGCTCATCCTCTCTGAGCTGATATCTACACAGGTATCTACACAGGTATCCAAGGGAGTCATCACACATCAAGTCAAGAAAGTGTTACTTATATGTATAAGAATGGATGACCATAGGTGAATATTTGTATATGAACATACATATAGCTTTTAGCTAGGAGATCAGATTATTACTTAGTTCAATCCACATCAGCATTCTGGAAGATTATCACTTTAGAGAGTGGAACACTTAAATTATGTTGTAGAATCCTTAACACAGTCTGGAATACTAAAAGAAACATTTTCAAACCCTACCATTTCAGAATGTGCTAGGGTTTTTAATCATCACTGGGGTGTGACTGAGGGAATGAGTGTTCCAGATGAGATTTCTTTGGAGTTTACAAAAAAACAAAATAGAAGAACTCCATGGGCTTTTACTCTGCACCCCAATGAAAGGAGGGCAGGAACAGATTGGATAAATGTGTTTGCCTCTAAAGCATAAAAAACACATAATGATTGCATATAATTTCAACTCTTCTACCTCTGGTATGAAAGGTCTAAAACAGAGTGTGCAATTTAAGTCAGTGTGATGTCTATATCTGATTTTTTGAGGACTATACTCCAAAAGAGAGTGGACCTAGTAGTAGTTTGGGGGGGGGCAGTGTGTGTTAGAAAGTTATGAGACAAAATAAATTGTCTTAAGGATCTAATTTGTTCCTTAACATTCCATATAAAAAAAGATTCACAAAGGTCAGTGGGAACCAGAATATGGATTTCAGTTGGCCCTATGTAGTGTTCCACTTTTTGCACATGTGGAAAACATTTTAATTATAAAAAAAACGATGTGCGCGTTAAAATATTCCCCAATCATTCTAATAATTAATTGATTACTTTTCAGTTTAGAACATAAGGCCTCAGCTTTTTTTCTATCTTGGCAACCAGGACTGAACTCAGTATTTCAAGTGTGGCCTCACTACTCGCGAATGAAGCAGTGCTATCATCTCTTGTGATCTTGATACTATCTATGTGCTGCTGTTTTAAACATTATTACTTCATATCATTTATTTGCAAATCTAAGTTTCCTGAACCTAAATTTTTCAATGCATTCTGATCAGAATTTCAGTAGCCAACAGTCTTCAAAAAGAATCTTACCACAGTTACAGCATCATTGAGCAGTGATTCTCCAAAAACAATTATGAAAAGAATATCATTGACATGAACTTCTTCAAACACAGCGAGCACAGCAACAGGATCCACTGCAGCTATTAAACTGCCAAACAGGAGAAAATCAAGCAATCCACTATGAAGTTCACCTAAAACAGCAATGTAGATCATAAAAACACAGAATTACTGAACCAGATTGGAAATTCCCATTAGGCCCTAAGAAATTAAGAAAGATGTAAATTAAAGTGTTCCCAGAGATAACAATCTAAACATTGTTTGAACATTTCCAATGAGGGAGAAGGAACTACCTTTCTGAATAATTAGCTGCACTAGTGAATTAGTCTTCCAATCCACCTCCATCCTGTTTATGTATTGGCCCCATTTTATCCAGTTTGTTGTTAATTTTAATGTTTTAACTTTAATGCCAAATCTTTAATGCTTTTAATGTTCTGTTTTGTATAGTTCTTTTACAATATTGTAGATGTTGTTAGCCACCCAGAGTCACTTGATAGTGAAATGGGCAGCATATAAATTTAATAAATAAAATAAATAAAAATAAATTATATTTCTCATTATAATCTTGAAGAAATAAGTAAGCTAATATTAATAATTCCCAATATTAATAGAAATTTAGCCCTTCAGCACATTTATATACTAAAACATCACAAAATTTAATATTCAAACATATTAAAAAAAACTCAAAATTACTGTATAAGAAATAGAAACACTATTAAAAACTACAGAAGGAAAAAAGTTCTACTATAGAGTATTTTGCATATACTCTTACATAAAACATTTTTCCTTCTTTCCCTTTTACCTTGAGTGGAAAGCAGTCCACCTTGGATAGAAGCTAATATTACGCTAATACCCAAAGAAGACTCAGACTTGACTCAGATAAAGAATTACAGATCAATATCTCTACTAAATGTGGATTATAAAATTTTACTTCGATAATAGCAGAAAGACTAAAGAGATTTTTGATTGAATTTATACATTCAAATCAAAATGGATTCTTATCAAAGAGACAAATAAAGAATAATTTAAGAATGATTTTAGGCACATTGGAATATTATGAAATGCATCCAGGGGAACACATGGCATTAATCTTTCTAGATGCACAGAAAGCTTTTGATAATGTCAATTGGCAATTTATGGTTCAGAAACTAAACTATATGGATTTTGGAGAAAACTTTTTGAATATAATCCAAACAGTTTCAATATTAAAAAAGGACCCAGAAATGAAAGGAATGGAGATAAAAGATGAAAAGTATAAACTACAAGCATTTGTGGATGACTTTATATTTATATTAGAGGATCCCTTGGAGACAAGTCCTAAATTATTAGCAAAGATCGAAGAATTTGGAGAAATAGCAGGACTGAAAATAAATAGAGAAAAGACTAAAGTTATAGTTAAAAATCTGACAGATAAACAAAAAAACCCCAATTGTCAGAAAAAACAGATCTTCAAGTAATTAAGAAAGTCAAATACTTGGGGATATATCTAACAGCAAGGTTAGATATATCCCCAATAAAAAAACAATAAAAAAAGACAACTACATAAAATTACTAAAACAAATAAAACTAGACCTGGAAAAATGGAAAAATCTACAGCTATCAATTTTGGGAAGAATAGTAATTGTGAAAGTGAATATCTACCAAAACTGCTTTTCTTATTTCAAACAATACCGATAAAAAATGAGAATTTTTTTTGATGAATTAAATGCATCAATGTTGAAATTTATTTGGCAAGGGAAAAAAGCTAGAATTACTGAAAATGTTACAAGAAGTAAAAGAAAATGGAGGCTTTGGGCTACCAGATTGGGTTCTGTATTATCAAGTAGCTGAATTAATATGCTTAAAAGAATGGATAACTCTTAGAAACAAAAGACTGTTATATCTAGAAAGGCATGACCTACAACTTGGATAGCATGGATTTCTATGGTATGGGAAGAACAAAATTCATAAATACTTTCAAAACCACTATGTAAGAAATGCACTGCTTTTGACATGGGAAAAGATAAAATCGAGAATTAACATGAAAATACCAGGATGGATTTCAACAATGGATGCATTTGTAAATCCAAATTTAATTAATTATGAGAAACTTGTGACTTATAAAGATATTTTGAATACTGATGGGAAACTACAAACTAAACAAGAATTAGAAGAACAGGGCATAAAGCTATCATGGTGGCCACATTTGCAAATGCAAATGAGATATGAGAAAGATGTAAAAGTATATGGTTTTTACAAAGATCAGACAGTGTTTGACCAGATACTATTGTCATCACATGACAAATTAATTAATAAAGTGTACAGTTTTCTGTTAAATTTAAAGATGGAAAATGAACAAGTTAAAGAAATAAAGATAATATGGGCAAAAAAGTTTGGGCACAATGTAGAGTTAGAAAAATGGCAAAACTTATGAGAAAGAAACTATAAAATAACAAGGGCAACTACTTATAAAGAAAATTTATATAAAATGTTCTATAGATGGCACTTACCACCTGCAAGACTAGCAAAAATGTTTAAAAATATGTCTAGCAATTTTTGGAAATGCAGACAAAATCCAGGCACATATTATCATCTTTGGTGGACATGCCCTAAAGCAAATAATTTTTGGTCAAAAATACATGAAAGACATGCTGTCACACCTATCGAAAGGGAAATTTTTTTCTAAACTAGACCTAAGGGAAGCTTACTATCGCGTGAGAATTAAGGAAGGGGACGAATGGAAGACTGCATTTAACTGCCCCATGGGGTGCTATCAATTCAAAGTCTTGCCATTTGGATTACAAGGGGGCCCTGCAGTCTTTATGCAATTAATCAATGACGTTCTAAGGGAGCACCTATTTAAGGGGGTCCTTGTTTACTTGGACGACATTCTTATCTTTACTGAAACAAAAGAAGAACACGTCAAACTTGTCAGAGCGGTTTTAAAGAAGCTGCGAGCCGCTCACCTATATGCCAAACTCTCAAAATGCGAATTCCACCAGGAAAGGATAGACTACCTAGGCTATCGCATATCCCCACAGGGCATTGAAATGGACCCGGAGAAGGTCAAAGCAGTACTAAATTGGGCACCACCCCGCACAAGAAAGCAACTACAAAGTTTCCTGGGCTTTGCAAATTTTTACCGCCAATTCATCCCCTCATTTGCACAGATAGCCTTGCCCCTCACTAACTTACTAAAAACGAAGGGAACATCCTCAGTAAAACCTAGCCAGCCACTAACATGGACAATGGAGTGCCAAGCAGCGTTTGAGAGACTAAAGAGACTTTTTTCTGCCGAACCAGTACTAAGGCACCCAGACATGGACAAGCCCTTCATAATACAGGCAGATGCAAGTGATGTGGCAGTGGGGGCTGTGCTATTACAAGAAAATGATGATGCAGTATTGCAACCCTGTGCATATACATCCAAGAAACTCACGGAAACAGAACAGCGCTGGCCCGTATGGGAGAAGGAGGCTTATGGGATACGTTGGGCATTACTCACGTGGCGACAGTTCCTGGAAGGCAACAAAATCCCCTTCCAGGTGTGGACTGATCACAAAAATTTAGAAGCCCTGAAAACTTCCAGGAAACTCAATCCCAAACAAGCCCGCTGGTCCCAGCATTTTCACCAATTCCAATTTAAGCTCAAACATTTACCAGGAAGAAAGAACTTCCTGGCAGATGCACTATCTCGCATGCCCCAATATAACAGCGCACGAACCACAGACTCTAGACCAATAATGGCAGAGTCACAACTGGCAGCGCCAGTAACCACAAGAACCCAAGCCAAAATAAAACCACAACTGGACAGCCAAACTGGGATTGAATTCAGAAAAAGTTTGGAAACAGATGAATGGTTCCAGAAAAACAAACATGTGTGCACAATGAGAGACGGATTGCCTTGGGTAGGGGAAAAGTTATATATACCAACAACTCAAAGACTAACTTTCATGCAACTTTGCCATGACACAAAATCAGCAGGGCATTTTGGATTTGTAAAAACTTTACACTTAATTAAACGGCAATTTTGGTGGCCATCAATAAAAAAGGACATAGAAAGTTATGTTGCCAGCTGCCCAACCTGTGCATCAGCAAAGAGGTTGCAAGGGAAATCGCCAGGGCTATTACAACCAGTGGCAAGTCCCTCAGCCCCCTGGAGGGAAATAGCCATGGATTTTATAGTGGAATTGCCAGAAAGCAATGGGAATACTGTTATCTGGACAGTCACGGACCTATTTTCCAAACAGGTGCACTTTATCCCTTGCCAAAAAATTCCCACTGCAAAGGCCTTAGCAAAACTTTTCATCCAGCACATTTACAGATTGCACGGGGCACCCCTAATGTAAGGACCCACCCCACTTTGCATCTTAAGAAGACAGAACTCTTGGAATAATTCTTCCAACAGGAATCCTTTATTAAGAGAAAATGGTTGCAGGCATGCTAGACAGGACTTGGGGTTCAAGCTCTCCCATTCAAGGTTTTAAGGGGTTCCCCAGTAGTCCCACCCAATCAACCCCCCTTCCAGTGATAGTTTCAAGTATCACAATTTCACCCCCTTTCTTCTTTCTTCCGTCTGGATGGAGACTTCAGATAACTACATGAAAGGCAAATACCCTTCTTTGGTATGCTAAGCTTTGGTTACAATAAACAACATTCAGCTCTTTGAAGTGTACTGAAGGAAGTGAGGGCCATAAAGCCCCTTTGTTCTCCCCCTTCTCTCCCTCTTATGGCAGAATCCAGAGAAGGCAGAATTGGGGTTTTCTATATTTGATGATTAAAGATGAAATATAATTGGATTCTGACAGGTGGCTAGAAAAGATGATAGAAGCATATGTAGACTATAAACCGGAATTATTTCTTTTAGGTATAATCTCAGAAAATTATGATAAAAATGTGTATACTTAACAGTTAATACATGTATTAACAGCAGCGAGAATTACATTTGCTCAATATTAGAGAAATGAAGAAATACCTTCTGAAGAAGATATAATTAAGAAAATGTTGGACTGTGCAAAAATGAATAAGCTCACATTGCAAATGAAAGGGAAACAAGATTCAGAATAGTTCCAAACATGGGAAAAAATGTATAAATGGTTAGAAAAACAGAATAAAGGATAGGAATGGAAACTGTATTACTATTAATGTTAAATAT